TGGAACGCGCACGCGCCTTTGTGACTGCACAGCCCCCACCCCGCGTTCCCGCCCGAGCCCCGCCTCTGCGGCCCGGGGGACCCCCACCCGACCCCGGGAACCCCCACCCGACCCCGGGGGACTCCCACCCGGCCCCGGGTGCCACCACCTCCTGGCTGTTCTGCAGATCTCCCCGCAGCTAGCCCTACCATCCTCCCCAGAGAAAGACGGACGGAAGGACAGACGCACATGGGGAAGGACCCCCAAACCAGTGCCGGGAACTGGGTGCCAGGCAGTCGTGGGCCTGGCCATCTCCAGGCCTCGAGGAGAAAACGGGGTGCCCAGTACCCACTCACAAGGACCTCAGCGCTGCAGACTGCAGTGTCTCACAGGCGGCTCAGTGTGTACCCCAATCCCAAAGGTGAATCTTGGGGTCTTCACCCCAGGGACAGGTGCTGGCTGTATTTGTGTTGTGCCTGTCTTGGGGTTTGAACTCAGGGTCTGGGCACTGTCTCTGAGCTTTTTTGCTCAAGGCTGGCCCTGTACCATTTGAGCCACTGCTCTATGTATGGCTTTTTGATGATTCACTACACAGGAGGCTGAGATCTGAGGATCATGGTTCAAAGCCAGCCCAGACAGGAAGTCCGTGAGACTCTTACCTCCAATAAACCACCAGAAAACTGGAAGTGGTTCTGTGGCTCAAGTGGTAGAGCGCTGGCCTTGAGCTGAAGAACTGAGGGACAGTGCCCAGGCCCAGAGTTCAAGACCCATGACCAACAACAACAACAAAAAATTATTGTTCCAGCTGGGCACTGGTGGCTTGTACTAAAAGAGGCTGAGATCTGAGGATCAATAGTTCAAAGCCAGCCTGTTCAGGAAAGTCCATGAGACTTTTATTTCCAATGAACCACCAAAAAGCCAGACATGGGGGCTGGGAAGGTGGCTCAGTGGTAGAGCGCTTGCCTTGCACGCAAGAGGCCCTGGGTTTGATTCCTCAGCACCACATAAGCAAAAAAGAAAAAGCTGGAAGTGGAGCTGTGGCCCAAGTGGTAGAGCATTAGCCTTGAGCTGAAGAGCTGAGGGACAGCGCCCAGGCCAGAGTTCAGGCCCCACAACCGGACCAAAAAAAAGAAAAAAAAGCCAGACATGGAACTGTGGCTCTTAGGGGGAGAGTGCCAGCCTTGAGTGACAATGCTAAAGAACACCATGAGCCCAGTACCTGCACCCAAAAGTAAATAATCATATTCACTGGGGATTTGCATAGGACAAGCGTTGGGTCTGAGTGGCTCTCACCCCACTTCCTTCTCTCCCAGCCCTGTGTGCCAGGAACCATGGTACAGGCCGAGGCACAGGCCGCCTTTGCTTCTGGCTTCCTGCAGGGTTTGACAATGGGAGGGACTAACAGGATACCAGGTGGGAGTTGTCCTTCCTCCGCTGTGTCTGGTGGTCTCCTCTCCCCAGAGCTGTGGCTTCTGTGGCTGGGGTCTCTCTCCCAGCACCAGCCTTCCGTCACTCCCCTCCCCCTCCAGGCTGGTTCTCTGTGCCTCAACCTCCCTTTCCTGTCCCCTCAGCCCTGCGCATGCTCTGACACTTCTCTAAGCTCTCGACCCCTTGGGCTGCCACTTGGAGTCAGGGCTCTGTCCCGCCCTGGGCCAGCGGCCCGCAGCCAGGCAGCCAGCGCTCACTCCAATTTGGCTTGGGGAGCGAAGCCAGGGGTGGGCTGGCGTGACCCCATCCACACGCGTCAGACGGGTACAGAAGAGCGGCCTGCAGGGGGCACCCCAGACCAAGGAGAGGGGCTGCCCTCCCCGCCTGCCTGGCAGCTTGCAGGCTGTGGAGAGGGGCCTGGTTCGTCCCACAAGAGAAACACAGGAGGCTGGCGAGGGTGAAGGCATGCGGGCACGCACACAAGGTGGGGTGCTGCCAACCCAGGGAACGCCCCAAGACCAGCACCCAGGGTGTGTGTGTGGCAGTCCTGGAGACTGAACTCAGGTCCCTGAGCTTTTGTGCTCAAGGCTAGCGCTCCACCACGTAAGCCTCAGCTCCCTTTTTGGCCTTTTGGGGTTAATTGGAGTCAGAGTCCCATAGACTTTCTTGCCTGGGCTCCTTTGAATGGCAATCTTGGGAACTCAGCCCCCTGAGTAGCTAGGATTAGAGTTGGGGGTCAGTCTCCACTTTGTAAAGAGGAAAAACGCAAGCACCCAGCTCAGGACCACTGACTGTTGCTAAGACATAGCAGTTACACCCCTTGCAGCCAAGCAAGGACCCCATCTTACTTTGATTTTATTTGGTTTTGTT